CCCAGCACCGCCCACCCCACGGAAACAACCTCCCCAGCGCTGCCGAACCCCCCTCACCCGCCGCTTGTCTACTCACCCCCCCCTCCGCCCGCGGGCTGCACAGTGAGCCCATCTACTCAACCCCCGCGGGCCGCACAATGAGCCCACGCGGGCCGCATGTGGCCCCCGGGCCACATGTTGTGCAGGCCTGGGCTAGGGTATCTCACTCCTAAGGGTAACCCAGGATGCAAGGGTGCATCTCCTGCATGCATGTGGCTTCAGTCTGACTCTGTATGCTGCTTGCCTGTGTGCTGCTCTGGTTCCTGCAGAAATAATTGTCAGGTGGCTCAGCAAAGTTTCCTACAGCTGGGGGAGAAACAAGGCAGCTCTCCCAAGGAACCTTCAGCAGAGGATTGCAGAATACCTAACAGGAAAGTTTCCTAGAGATCACTATGGAGAATTCCGGGGACATCTCTGTGTACTTTAATAAACTTTTCCACCGTGGCCCCACTGCATAGATGGACAGGCTCTGTTGCTAATTTCTGGTCCTTATCCCTCCTGTACCATATAACAAAGTACGTCAGAGCTCAATCTCTCACGGTGCAGTATCAAAGCAAAATGAGCACTTACTGGAGCTCCCCTCTCCTGCATCCTGTGTGCCAGAGTTGGAGTGCTGGGACTGGCTAGACCCCTTCGGAGTGGAAAAGATATCCTGATTCGCTGCACCTCTGGATGACCCTGCCATGTGCTCCACATCATCCTCCAGCTTCACTTCCTCGTCTGGATTGAGTCCACTGGATGCTGCTGTCAGTCCCCCTGAACTGTCCATGGGGCTCTTGGTGGTGGAGGTGGGGTCGCCACCAAGGTTGGCATGCAACTCCTTATAGAAGCAGCATGTCTTCGACACCGCACCTGAACGACGGTTGGCCTCCCTTGCCTTCTGGTACACCTTGGTTTTAGCCCGACACATCTGTGTGTCCCTCTCGTGCCTCTTTTCATGCATGCCTCTAGCAATCAGCCTGTAGGTATTGAAATTCCTACAGCTGGTGCAAAGCTGCAACTGCACAGCCTCTTCTCCGCATATACACAGCAGATCCAACAGCTCTGGTGTGCTCTAAAAGGGAGAGCGTCTGCTGCAGGAAGCCGGCATGATCAGCTAGGAAGATGCTGTGTAAACTGTGCACGCCAAGCAAATAGGAAGAGGAATTTCAAAACTTCCCGGGCCCGGGGAGGGGCGCTGACCTGTGCATCTTCTGGGCAGCAGAGTTCAAACTGCGGTTGTGATGGGCATTGTGGGATACCTGGAGGCCAATTAGGGTGATGTAATCAAGTGAGTTGTTTACACTGACACTTCGTTGCTGTAACTATGTTGCAAAAAAGCTCTATGCTACTCGACGAGGTGATTTTATTATGTTGGCATCAGCAGGAGGAGCATTTCAGTGTGTACACCTCCACTGGTTTGTCAACGAAAGCTGGCTTTTGTCGACAAAACTGAATAGTCTAGACAAGGCCTTAGTTAACTCTGACCCTCAACTAAATTAAGTCCAACTGTCCTCATTATTTTCCCTCTCTTTATTCACTATTCCCCCCGCCTCATTTATTCCTTCTCCTTCCTCCTCTCTCCAGATCCCTCTCTTCCTTCTCCCTATTCCCTTATTCACTTTATCCCTCTCTTCCCATTCCTAATATTGCTAACCCCACTCATTCAAA